TAGGGATCAAACCTGGAAACCTTAGGCTGAAGATTGTCGGTTCAGGGCTTAGGGTTTAGGGTTCAGGGCTTAGAGTTTAGGATTCAGGGCTTAGTCCAAGATTTAGAGTTTAGGATGTAGGTTTGTTAGTGATGTGGGACCCAGAGGGCGGGTGAGTGTATGACCATTGTTTGACTTGCGATGCTGAACTATAAACTTACACCCTAAACTTCATGACTCAGGCACCTTCTGACTCAGCCCGTCTCCTCTGGAGACCACTGAGTTGTAGAGCCAAGGCATGCTGCTCCAGGTAGGGCAACTGAGAAGCAGATCTAGCTGAACACATGATGCAAGCAGGAAGATCTGAACCCTGACCTAGTTAGCTGAGGCGCTCTGAGCAACCTGTTGTAGAACATATCGCCTTGGGCCCGGAGGAATCTGGTCCTGAGGAGCAGATCCTACTCGGCCTGAAGAGCTTCAGCTCAGCAAGTCAGGGCAAAGCACCTGAGTTGAGTCATAGAAGCCTTGCTGAGCCAAGCTTCTCCTGGACCTGAGGAGCAGTTCCTGAAAGATGGCTCCTGAGAATGGCACCTCAAATCCCAAACCCTGCACTTTCCAAACATAAATCCTAAACCTGAAGCCCTAAATTCTAAACTCTGCAACAGAAATCCTAAACCTCAAACCCTAAACCTTCAAGTCTAAATCCCAAACTCAGCATTCTACAAACCCAAATCCTAAACTCTAAACCCTAAACTCCAAACTTTCCGACCTAAATCTTAAAGCTTTAACCTTAAATCCTAAAGTCCAAACCCTCCCCAAACCTAAATCCTAAACCCTAAACCCCCCTTCCCTAAATTCCAAACCATACACCCTGCTGGTCCTGCTCCAGCCTCAGGATCAAAGCCACAGAAAACCTAAGTCAACTCCTTCTGATTGATCCAGTCCTGAGTTGCCATGGCTGAAGCTTAGAACAAGCTGAAGCGGTTCATGATTGAGTCAAGTTTCTGAGTTCAACCTGAGCTCCTTTCTTGGATGGCTGAGCGCCACCATAGTCCATCCTGAAGGCCTCTGAGGATGCTCCTCATAGTCTTGAGGATGAGGCTGAGGAGCACAGTCAGGACGTAGATCTAAGCGTTTGATTCAAGCTTTTCTGAGGTTCTAAGCTGAAAAGTTCGCCATGCCCTTAGTTAAATAGCAATTCCTGTAGAGACCCACTCAGGAACATTCATGCCCCAATCTGAAAGCATCTGGTAACTCTCAGCCAGCTGAGGAGTCGCGTCGCAGGACCTGAGATGCAGAACTTGGAAAAATTCCCGTCTAAAAGCCTGGGGGCAACAGTTACTGAACTAAATTGTTCCTCGGAGGCTGAGATTGCTGGGGCGGGACAGAGCGCCTCGCTGGCACCGCCATTCCTCCTCAAACATCGAAAGTGGCTGCTGGCACGCATCCTCAGGGCCGGGCCTCTTGACCAGGGCGCTCTTGACGCCGCTTCCGGTCGATCTACAGAGGGTGCTGCCCTTGCTCTGCGCCCCCTTCCTCTTTCAATCCATGGTCTTGGCCTCCGGCCTAAAAAATCCAAAGAACCTATATTTGGGCCACATGTCCCCCTGGAATTTCCCACGGAGTGGCTTCTGGAGACCCCCCGGTGTGAGAGGCCGCGGGAGCCCCACGCAGGTCGACTCCTTCCTTCCTCCCTCCCTTCCTTCCTTGTTTGCGCAATCCCTGCTGGGTCCAGATGCTTTCGAACTAGTGTTGTCGCGGGGAACCATGCTGGTTTTGGACCTGTTGAACATGAAATTTCAGGCGACCAGACCTTTGTGGAGCCAAGCTTTTCACATTGCCAGCGAGGCCAACCAATAGAGCAGGGGGGAAGAGTGATTGGCCAATTCTTGCAGGATACTTTTGCTGGATATCCACATTCCCAGTTTTGCACTTGTGGGAATGTCAGCAAACCCGTGTTGCCCGACTTGAACCTGTGTTCGCTCAAGCTTTCAAGATTCGAGTATATATGTTATTTGGATGATGTGTGTGTTACACACTTTGCAGTGAATAAGATATAATGTCCCCAGAAGGGGACGTTTTTATTCATAAAAAGTGTTCATTGTAAAAATTGCTCTGCAATTTTTCTACATGCATTTCATGACTGTGGCTTCATGTTGCATGACTGTGGTTTCATGTTTTCATGGGAAGAATTTTGGTTCAGCAGTTGCTGAGAAATTTTTTGTCCCACCCACACACCTGGAAGATTTGCAGGACGTATTCTTCCGTTAGGTGTCCTTGCAGGACTTGCAGGAAAACATGTTTCTTCTTTTTGCGGGACTTTTGGAGGGAAGAATGATTTGCCTATTCCTGCAGGATACTGTTGCCGGATACCATTTTCCTAGTTTTGCATTTGTGGGAATGTCAGCAAGCCCGTGTTGCCCGACTTGAACCAGTGTTCGCCCAGGCTTTCAAAAAGAGAGTGTTTGATTATGATTTGATTCGAGTATATATGTTATTTGGGTGATGCGTGTGTTATACATTTGGCATTGAATAAAAAAGGTATTGATATTGTTATGTGGAGAGGAGCTTTCTGGAATGATGCAACTCTTTTATGTGCATAGTACAGCAAGTAATGCCATATTGCGGCTATACGGGATTTTACTTGACATCAGGGCTGTTGCCCGCAATTCGAATCACCCTTTAGTGCCAAGAGTCATTCTATCCCAAAGCTCCGGAATCAGTTCTGTACTCAGAGAATCACTGTTGGCATCCTTGCTCGGCTCAAAGTTACGTTTAATTCTTACACATTTTTCAGGTCTTGAAGGTGCCATGCTTGAGTACAGCAACGGGCGATGGGTCCTCCAGGTTCCGGATGTTGCGGGAGTTTCAAGTTGACTGTCTGCACTCAGAGCGAAGGATTCCAAGTCCTTGTGATCCATGTGTGCAAGCCTGGAACCATGTTTTCTGCTTGACCACGCATGCCTTGCGCAGACCGCATCAAGCGCTCACCCATCTGGCCAGCCACGATCCTTCGAGCGCTACAAGGTCGGGGCCACGTGTGGCATAGTTTGGCATCGTGCTGCATGGTGTTGCGTAGTCTTTGGAGTGTGCAGTGTTGGTTACGGGCCATTGACGCAAGCCACAAAAGCATGGACACACGGATCCTGGGTGGCTGTTGTTCATGGGCCCCTTGGATCTTTGCAGTCCGAACTCGCAAGTCATCTTCAAGTTGCCAAAAGCAAGTGCTAAAACCCAAGCCCAGCTCGCTGGGATCCAGGCCGTCGCACCAGAGGCAGAACGGCCTTCAGAAGCAGGCTCTTCGGTCAATTCAGCCTCATGTTGTGCCGCGTTCTGGTGCCGATGCTGCAGCCATAAGACCCATACAGAGTTCCAAAGATGCATCATCCTTTAACGCATCATGGTAGGCAGTTCTGATTTGATGTGACGTGATGTGATGTGATGCCTACCCTTACATGGGGTAGTGAGCCGGCTTGACATCACCCGCGCTTCTAAGCTATGAGAAAGTACTTGCAAAGCCAAAACATTTGTCTTTGTGCGAGGAGATGCGAGAGCTGCCAAGCTGGCTACCATGGGCCTCTAGCTTGCAAGCTTCAGATTCCACAGGGGATATATAAGTGGATAGAGGGGTTCCTGTTGAGGGTCTTCAGTTTTGGCATCTTCGTACCAGAGTGTTCATAGCAGTTCTGAACTCTCGGATGTCAGTCCACTTGGGATCTAGCCTATGGGATGAGCGGCAGCTCCATAGCCTGTTGATGGGGTACCATTTATTCGGGGGTCTCCATCATAAGGAATTATCGTATGTCAGGTCTATATTGAGGTTCCCCCATTCAGGGAATCGACCATTTCTTAAAGGGTCCAGACCTGAATTGCATCGAAACCTAAGGCCATGCAGCACCTTTGAGCGTCGACAGCATCCTAACCCTAAACCCCAACTCTGAACCTTGTGGAACAGCTCTGAACAGAAAAAGGCGCCCCACAAGAACCAATCTTAAAACCTAGACCCCCAAAAACTCAATCTCGAACCCCACACCCGAACTTGAGGCGCGCTGCTGGCAGGTGGTGCCCGTGCCCGGCGGAGCCGTGCCGCAAGGCATGTGCCGAGGCGCTGGGCTTCAACACAGACGTAGTCGCCGAAAAAAAAAGAAGTAATGGCAGTGGGAATGCTGCTGGAAATAGTCATTCTAGAAGCGATAGTACCAGGAATAGTGAAGGCAAATGTACAGGAATAGAAGCAGTCAACAGTACGCGTGATAGTAGTAGGAAACATCAATAGTAATAGAAGATAAGACCAAAGTAATTGCGAGAGCATAGGGGGCACTTTGGGTTGCGGGTCTATGGGTGTGTAAGGGTCTCGGGTGCTGCGCTGCTGCACTCTGTGTTCTGAGGTTTAGGGTTTACAGTTAAGTGTGCGCCGTTACCTGTTGCCGTCTTTTGGCAGATTTAGTCAGGATTTGCTGTACATTTCAGGGAGCATTGAACCTGAGACAATGCCGGCATTATGTTTCTCAGCGTGCCGGCTTTTGATTAAATTGAAATCCGAATGCCAACGCTGGTTTGGCTGGCCAGGCGCTTGTTCGGTGATATTGCGCAGACGCTGAATCCGCAGCCCGGCGCGAGGGTTTGAATTGGGTACTTGCTTCTCAGCGACTGCGCTGAAGCATGTTGAAGGAAGGTATGTGGTGTACCGCTAGCTCAAGTTCAGCTGATGTGTAGATGAACTGTGTCCATCCGTGGCTGAGGTTTTACGAAGCACCTGATGTGCAGACAAAGAAGCGCTACAGCCCTCAAGTTGAGGCCGGTTTCATTTCTCAGGACTAGCATCTTGACACAGTAAATCATTCCCGCAAAGCTGCATTTTTGCGCAACAGAATCAAAGGCGTTGTTAGTTGGCCTTACAAAAAAATTCGAGGCACCCAGAGTCCTCAAGTCACCACCACATAGGGAAAGCAACCTCACAGAGCCTGGCTGAGCTCTGGGCTCTGGATGTTGTGCAGGCCATTAATGCCCTCGAGAGCGCTATGCAAGCGCGCTCGGACGACGAGCTGCGCCGCTTGCCCAGCAAGTGTTGCTTTGTATTCTTACAAATTGCCATTTTCATTGTTAATTTTCATTGTTATTGCAAGTACGTTTATGCTTCAGAGAAGGAGTTTTTGGCCTCATCCAAGGTGAGCTCACAAAGAGCCTCCAAAGCCGAGCTCAGGAACAGAAGGACCTGCAGTCACTGCTGTCAAGCTGGGTAAGGTGGATAAGGCACAAGCAGTAGTAGGTTTGGGCAGCAGCGTCAGTTAGCGCTGTGGATCTCACGAATTCTGCTGCCACAGGAGTCACTGGACTCGTTGCTTCCAGAGGCTTTTGCCCTTGTCCGGGAGGCACCTGAAAGACAAGTGAGAGTTCCCAGCCCTTGGCAAGCGCGTGTCACGGTTCTTTCCGCGTACAGAGTAGAGCAGGCCTCCTTGCGCGTGCTGGGCCTCCGGCACTTTGATGTGCAGTTGATGGGAGGCGAGACCTGCGTGAAAATTGCCGAAAGGGTAGATGCATGATACTTAGCCATTGAAGAAACAGGATGCTGTGGTCCACGCATGCGCTGAGCAACCGCACTCTTCTGGAATCGCAGGAATCGCTCTCCATGAAGGCAACATTGCTGAGATGGGAACTGGAGAGGCCATTTGGGATGAAGTGAAGAGAGTCTGCAGTTCTGGCTTGACTGGTTTGTCATCATGTGCTGTTGGCAGACCACCTGGCGATTTTAATAGCTTTCCTGCTTGTGCTGTTTCAGGGCAAGACCCTTGTGGCCATCTTGGCGGCATTCCTCAATGCCCTGTCTGGCAAGGTTTGGCTTTTGCGGTTTTTTTGGAAGCAGAATGGTATGGTAAGGCCCCTTCATCTCATGGTGTTCCATAAAGTGTATGAGAGATCAAGGACTGTCGGCGAAGGGGTGGGAAGTTACATTGCGCGCAAAAATGAAGACATGTGATTACGCATCAAGTGGGGCCGTTTGAGTACATGTTGCGTCCTTTTTGCATTGCAAGTGTGGAGACTTGCACTCCACATCAAGACATCACGCTCTCATCCCCGGAGGGGGTGCACGTTGTGACGGTGAATGATTACCTTGCACGGCGAGATGCAGAGTGGGTTGCTTGGCAGTGCAGAGGACTGGAATTGCGGATGTTCGCTTTTTTGGAAATAGTTCGGCTTCTTAAATGAAGCGTCGACCTCTTATTTCTGTAGTCCTGGGTGCTGGTATACTTGCCTGGGTTGATGAGCGCCAGCCACTTGCATCCCGCCTTCCAGATCTCACGCAGTACGTGATCTTGGAAAGTCATGACCGCAGACTCCACGAGGTTGGTCAGCCCCTACGATTCCTCGGCATGACAGTGGGCGTCGTCCAGCATCCTTGCCGCAAGATCTGTGAGAGATTCGGCTCTAGCAGGGACCTCTCCAGTCCCGAGGCCCATAGGCATAGGCCTTTGCTTTTCTGACAGCATTCCTGCGCAAGGAATGGCATGCCCTCAGACCAGAAGAAGAAGGCCTACAGGTCTGATGTCACCTACGTTACCAACAGCATCCCATCTGCAAGATAGGCAATCTCCAGGTGCTTTGAGGCTGAGGTTTTGATCGTTGCGCCTTTGCCAGATGATGTGTTGCCCGTGGGCGTTGCTCGAGGGTGTGCAGGGTGTGCTGCCTGTTGCGGTATTCGAGGCGAGTTGGGCTTTGACTACCTTCGGGATCAAATGGCGCCGTCTCCTTCAGACCTTTCTCTTCGCGAGGACTCGCCGTTGCTGGGGCCGCCTTTGAGAGACGTATGGCCTTGTGTGGGTTTTCAAACCTCGAATCCAAGCCCACACATTTTCTTCTTCAGAGAATTCCAAGCCTGTAAGGTTCAACTTCGCAGTGGTGGATGAGGTCGATTCCATCCTCGTGGACGAGGCGCAGCAGCGGGGGCTTTGAGGGACTTCTTTGGAAGATGTGGCTGCCTGCCAAAGTCAAGTCACAGGATCTTGAGAAACAAAGCCACTGGCAAACCTGCTGGCACAGCTGGCTGCGCAGGCTCGTACGCCGCTCATCATCTCCGGTGTTGCGGAGAACTCCCCCACCAAGTATCAGGCCCGTCCCGGATTTTGCAACTTTTTCCTTGGCCAATTTCCTCAGGCTCCAGAAGTTCACCAAGTATTCACCATGTGTTGCCAGCCTTGCTCGTTGAGGCGGACTCGGTACGCAGTAAATTGACTATCATGCGCAGGTGGCCAACGAGGTTTCCAAAGCCTTGCGGAAGGAGGCTTGGTGGTTTCAGAGAATTTGTGGCTGCAGTCATGAAATTTGACCAAGGTGCATTACACAGTGGATGAGAAGCAGAGGCAGTGTGTGCTGATCGAGGCGGGCATCTCCACTGCCAGGGCCGTTTGTTTTTCGTCCTGGCAGTCTTTGAAAAGGCAGAGGTTCCTAAGCTTTGGAATCGCATTCTTAACTGGACATCTTGAATGCAGAAGGATTTGGAAAGGGGCAGGGGAGGGCAAGGGAAGGGGAGAAGGAAGCTGGGAAACCCCGGAGAGAGGACGTATGACTTGTGATGACTCTTGGGGCCAGCAGCATCTGCAACTTCTCAGAGTTTTCTCTTTGCGCTGTGCCCTTGACTTGCTTGGCCCCGCTGCAGGGTTTGGAGCTGAAAGGGGCGCTCAAGGAACCCACATACATTATACAAACTCTTTCAAAAACCATCCGCAGGTAGCCAGTTGGAGCCATGGAGACCCCCCAGCGGAAGCTGCGGAGGCTGCCACGTGAAGATCCAATGACGGGTGAGAAGGTGGCCCGGCCGCGGCAAAGCGGTTTGCTACGAAGCGAGGTCACCGAGTCGGGCAAAGCCACCGACCTTGAAAAGCCACCCAAGCTGCTGGAGTCCAATTTGGCCTCAAAGCAGTCCAAGGAGTCCAAGGAAGAGACCGCAGAGATGGAAGAGGTCAGGTTGAAGCTAGCCTCTTGCTCGGAAGGCTTTCTTGAGTTTGAGATGGATGGCAAAACCTACCGTGTGCTTGACGAGGCAGCCTTGACGCACATTGCGGGCTCCTGCGACAAGCAGCCGAAGGGGGACGTGGGCATCAGCAGGCCTCGCAAAACGCTGGCACAGTTCAAGGCGGAGTTCAGGGCGAGGCGTAGTTAGAGCTTCGTTGACGTGAGTGGCCTCTATGGGATGGAAGCATGATGGCACTGAGAGCAGTGTCATCGCGGCAAGCTTTCCATTTGAAGGCCTCGGCTGGGGATCCTGCGAGTGATCTTGTCTTGCGGGTGCAAAAAAGCTTGCGCACTCCAAGGTTGAAGCTTGAACACGCTCAGCAAGCCACATTGCTTTCCAAGCTGCGAGCAAAGCTGGACTGCCCAAAACAGGCAGGTGTCGAAACAGCGGAGAAGCTCTTAGGCAAAGATGACCTTTTCGACCCAGAGGACGTGCCAACTTGGTGCATTGCATCTGTGCGGTGCAGTCCATTCTCTTTGTCTCAGGCCTGTAGGCATGCAGGAGCTGCTACAGCAAAGAGCACTGTGTGCAGGACCCCTGGTTTCCATTCGTCACGAACTCCTTGAACGCAAAGGAGCTGTACATCAAGGACAAGGTACACCCCTACCCGAAAGCAAGTGCGATTAGGTGCGTAACTCTTGCCACGCAGAAAGCCTCCGTGCCAAATCCCGCTCTTTCGGTGCATCCCTTTCTTCAGCCCAGATGCAATGGAGCTCTAGTGTTCACGTCAATACAAAAGGTCTAGGACCCTAGAGGGGCGCACTGTGGCCAGGCATACATCGTCAAACGTGGAGAGGTGATGTAGCTCGAACGCTTTAGCATCCCATGGCTGCTTAGAATTGAAGCATTCGTGCTGGTGTGAGCTGACTTTTCGTCTTCCGTGCGCCTGTCAGACATGTGCAGAGGGACTTTCAGCAGCAAAGGATTGTGGACGAGTTCACAGGACGTGTCATGGAAGGTCGGCGATGGAGCAATGGCCTGCATCAGGCGCGCTTTCACTCGCTTCAAGGCTCCAAGTCTTCATTGTACGAAACCCACACCGCCCGTCGGTCTGGGTGTTCCTCTCTCCTTCCTTATCGATTCTTTCTATCTCTTTTTTTCAGTCAGTTACGTGGCCAGATTGTCATGAGGCATTGCTCTTGTTCAGGTCTGCAGGGAAGTTAAGAGAACCGGGGGTTGAGGACCCTCTGAAGAGAGAAGCGATGCGAGGCCATTGAAGCCAAGGAGGGTGTCCAGATCCAGGCTGAGTCTGTCACTCTAGCCAGCAACTTGCATGAATATGATTCCAGCCTTGAAGTGCACTTTGCACGTCAGCACGCAGTTTCCTGGGATCTCACTAGATACAGGGACTTTAATGGGAACCCCAAGAATAAAGTAGGAATGTAATAGGAATATAAGGATCCGGGTAGGTATGTTCCTAGTATATTCCTGCGACATTCTTGGGGTTCCCTGTCTGGGGTTGCCGTGAAAGCCCCTTTGCTAGAGGAGCTTCCTACAGGTTTGAGCGTGCCATTTCATCAGACGCCCTGAGCTCACTGCAACAAGGCATTTCGTACCAATCCCTCTTCAGGCTCTTCGATAAGACCCCTGCCTGCATCAAGATTCGACAGGAGATGGCACATGCCAGAGCTTAACAAGTGAAGCTCAGAGTCTTTGTTGGCATCTCGCAATGTACAGGCTGTCCGTATCAAGAGAGGGAAGGGAACTTTTCTGTACCTCCAGAACTGAGGCTCGGCGGCATGACGGGCACCGCCTTCACAGAGGCTAAGGAGTTCGAGGAGGTCTACAAGCTGAAGACAGCACCCTGCCCAAATTGCTTCTGGAAGCCGGGGTTTAGCTTTGGACTCCAAGGCAGAGCTATACTCTGAATGCTTTGCTCTGAGGTCGTCATCCCACCAAACCTGCAAAGGACTGCTGCACATGAAGAGATGAAGCCAGACGAAGCTGTGGCTCCTAGCAATTGCTTCTGCAATTTGATGCCAGCCTGCCGAAGACATGCAGGAAGCGGGAAGACAAGGACGATCAGGTTCGGAATTAGCACATGTGTTTCCAAGTTGCTGTATGTGTGGGTGGGGAATACAGGCTGAGGCACTGCTCTGGGGATGAGGTTCACAACTGCATCAGGCAGTTACTTACAACGGCACCGCACTTTCCTTTCAGATCCCAAAGTCATCCCAAGCCTGGTGTTCAAGAACAGCACACGGTGTAGTCAAATAAGACTACACGCATGATGCACGAAAGGTGCTCTGTGTGCAAGACTCCACTTTGTCAGGTCTATGTGGACGATATCGGCAAGTGGAAGGCTAGTTATGTGCGGTAAATATGGGTGTGGATGTTCAATCAGCATGCATGTACACATGTTTGGTAGCAAGCGCTTGTATTGTATGGATACGCAAAACATGGCCGTGCACGGTACTGTAGTTGAGAGCAATGCCGCACTTGCCGCACTTGAGCTTCATATCATATCACTGACTGCTCTCTTTTCTGGCTGGAGCGTGCCTTTCAACCGCTGGGGCTGCTGTGGAGAAGTGCGAGATGCCTCCGCAAGCCTACAACCTCAAATGGAGTGCTACTTGACCTGGGTGTTGTTGTATTCTGAGGCCAGCGAAAGTTTCGGTCAGAAGTTGTAATGGCGGAAAACAATAGGCCAGGCGCCCACGAAGCACGGCACGGGGAAATCTAACAGAGAAGCCTCTCATACTTGTCTTGCCTGCAGGGTTCATTCAACGGCTGAGTCCTGCTCCATCAGTGACTCGTGGGATTTCAGAAGAGCTCCCAAACAACAACTTGCAGGCACATTGGAGATGCCCCGGCACTCAAATAAATTATCACGCATCAGACCCATGGGAAATGGAACCTCAGCATGACCCTCGCAACTTCCCGGTGGCAAGGGCAACATATGGCAACATGAAACCCGGCCATCAAGCACCAAGCAGCTCGCCCACCTTCCGGTGGAAGGCTTGCGCTCGAGAGATCGAGAACGCCCACCGAATCGGCCGGCCATGTCTTATCGGCACCACCAACGCCCCGTGGCAGCTATCATGGCTACATGTTGAGAAAGCTTCCCCGCCGCGTCAAATCCAAGGTTGAAAATTCCGAGATCATCGCAGAGCTCCTTGACGCTTTGGGTGTGCCTGCTCCTGAGTAAGGACATTGTGCTGTGCACAAACAGAAGCTGGCTCAGAAGGTGGGACCTATGTGTGGAGGGCCCCATGTTGTGACGCCAGGGCCTATCAGCTCCTCAACGCCAAGCCCGAGAATGTGGCCCGCGAGACAGAGATTGTTGCATCCAGCGGCCGAAAATATGCCAGATGCCTCAGATACATGAGTGAATGCTGGGCAGTGTTCTGCCCACCCAGACCTGCCTGAAGGCCATCCGCAGTTCAGCGTCTCATCAGCTCATGCATGCGCTACTGCAAAAATCCCCATGCTTTCAGATGCATGTTTCGCTCAGAACCCTGCCCCACATGGCCATTTTATCTTTGATATGAGACCAGGCTGTGACCATTGCGACCAACATGGCTGGGCGAGGCGACTTCCGGCAATCGGTGCAGGGTTGCATCATACTTGAATTGACCCCAAGTCACAACCACGGCCTGGAAGCACAGGAGATAAGCAAGCGATGCAAGCTTTTCAGAGCTCACATTGAAGTGTGGCGTGAAGAGGGGATAAAAACAAAGCATGCCAGGAACCGACATCCTTCTTGGAGGCAACCCTGCCATGATGGCTCGACTCCGATTGCGAGAGGCATCGGTTTGGGGTGTTCGAGGGGTGTTACTGCATGTTGGGCGCTTCAATTTCAGCTTGGATGGGATGCAGCCTAAATAATTCTGCGAAGGTGTGTGCTTTCAGTTTTCGCAGGCTCTGGCTGTTGATCCATGACACGTCATGAGCCCAGATCCTATGCGGCGCCTCACCCACAACGAAAAACACGGGCAGGAGCTCTATGGCAAACTCTTCCCTCGCAAGACTTGGGCCAGAGCCCTGGACGGGATGGCAAGTTGTCGCATCCTGGCAACCTAGATATTATAGACTGTGAATATAGATACGACCCATGTGTAAAGCGCAGGGAAGCTCAAGACTGGCGCAACAGTTATGGTCCAATAAGACTAGTATGCAAAACACAGTGTCCTATGATAGCTCGGTGAAAGCAAAACCGCTTCTGAAGGCCATGCCTGAGGAGTTCTACCCAGTGGATCTCACCGAGGAGTTGAAGACGCTGGCCAGCTTCAGAGCATTACGAGGGACTGCAGACGGAATTGAGAGTGTTGTTGGGACACCTTTGATGTTTTTTTTGAAGCTCTGCACGTCTGCAAAAAGCTTCAAGAGCGGGTAACGATGGGCCTGACATAGCACTAACCAAGGGGTGTACATTGTTGCTGTTATGCAGTGACTTGATGTTCTGTTGGGTCGCATAGTGCCACCGGAAGCTTCTGACAGGTTGCCAATGCCGTTGGTGCAACCGTAGAGGCCGCAAGATGGCAGTTCAGTTGTTTTGCTTGGGTCACCGTGGACAGCTAATCAATGGCTTCATGCAGCTTCGGCACTGCTTGAGGTTCTGTGAGCAGCAGATACTTGTGCGAATTGGAAGTGCGCAGCCGACGTCTAATTTCGGTTCCATAAACGAGTGTTTGTGTGAGAGTCGGTACCCCGAGAAAAGCCTGTCTTGTAGAGCCCAACCTTTGCACCGTTCCAGGCTTGGACACCGAAAGAGATAGATCTGAAGCCAACATCCCTGGAGGCTCTTCACAGAAATTTGCCAGTTGAAAACCTTCAGGTCTTTCCCACGGTGCAGTGCTTAAGGTAGCGCGACATCTTGCAGGAAGACTCATTTATCCTCAACATGTTTTGTCTTTATTTAGGCAGCCGTGCATGTTCGCTTTTTCTGGACGGGTTCTGAAACTTGGCAATACGCGGGTTTTTGCAAATGCAATGGCCTTGACTGAAGCAGGGCTTGCTGCTCCGTGCTGTTGTTTAATAGTATTTTAATTCAGTAACAGGGCGGTAATATAAGCAGAGCAGAATCAGCAGGCAGCCTTCCACCATGCCCGAGCTGTAAGCCATGCTACAAACATAGTTGGGGGTTTCTCAGCGTGGGGTTCCCATGGGAGGCATCGGAAGAAGTAGGCATTATTTGAGGATCATGGGTGGTCCGGTTTGGAGTATGATTATGCCCTAAACCCTAAACGATAGCAGTTTCCGTTTTCTTCTGAGTTCCTTATTGATGTCCGTGGTCATTTCAGGGGAAGGTCAGACTTCACTTGCTCGTGCCAGGCAGCAGAGCAGATTGTCGCACAGGCGGCCATGAGGGTCCCTGGGTGTTTTGGTAAGTTGTCAAATTTAAGGTGCTTTTTGGGTTACATACCGTTACATACCCTACATATTCAGGTTGCATAGTAATGGGGGCCCCAAAAGGGACCATTAACTTTGACAGCCCACCTTTACAGGAGGGTCCAGGGCTTCGGATCCTGCAAAACTCCAGAAAACTGAAACATGGCTGTTCAGAGAATATCGAGATGTTCTCGCTCTGACATCAATCTGATCGTTATCATTGAGTATGACACTTGGCAAGGCTAGCCTGAGCTTCTATGCTTGCCACAGTCATCAGAAAAAAATAGACCAATCTTAAATCCTAAAGCTTCCGAAGCTGGAGCCCTCAAGCCCAGCTGTAGCCGGCAAACTCTTGAGCGTCACATTCTCAACTCAAGCCCAGCCACAAGACCCTAAATCTGTCAAACCCTCAACCCTCAATTTTCGGTGAAGCCTCAAACCACTTCTAAACCGTCGAAGGGTTCTCACGACTCTGCTTGGGTCCAGCTGACTTTCATTTAGCCTTGCCCACCACAGTCAGGAGCAGCCAGATCGTTTAAGGGCCAAGTCTAAGCCTTTCGTGAACCTGTCTCCGTAAACCCAAACCCTCCAACTCCCAAAATACTGAACGAACTTTCACCAAAGGCAACACCTGGACCTTGAAACTGTGACTCTGGGAAGCCAAGACTCCAAACCCAAAAGGCCGACAAAAACAAAACTCAAACTGTGAAGTGAGAATTTGAATAGGGGGACCCCCCCAATATACTATAGTCCTTATTATGGGGGCCCCTAAAAACGTACCCTAATTTTTAGGAAGCTATGAAGTCAAAATCCTGAAGCACGCAAATCCCTAGAGCCCCGGAAGCTTCAAGCATAATCTGCAACGCCAATAACATGGTATATTATGGGTGTATTATGGTATATTATGGGTGCATTATGGTATATTGTGGGTATATTATGGTATATTGTGGGTATATTATGGGTAGAGTATGATATATTATCGTACATTACTGGTACAATCATAATGATGTTGCCTGGATCCGTTACTTGTGTGCAGCTGGATTCCAGAGGGAGACTCAAAGCCTGCGTGATGGGCACCAGCTCATACTAACTCTCTGGAGTGAGGCTTGTTCCACTACAAACCTGGATGCGCGCCACGAGGGTTGAAGCGGTTACCGTCTTCAGGAAAAATGGCAGAATGGCATGTGGCAAACCAGCTTTGCAAAGCCAGTCGCGCATTTGACAGGGACAGCTCACAGAGCTTGAGGCCGAGGACCAGCGGGCAGAACTGCTGACTCCTCTTGGGATTTGGTTCAGGCTGAATAGTTTTAGCTTGTGTGATCTGCCTTCATCTGACTCTTCATGATTTTTCATACTTCCGCTTGTGTAGAACCCAAGATGATCGTCAGGAGCGCTTATCCCTGGCTTGTGAGAAGGCCCCAACCAGCGACGAGGCAAGGCACTGCTCTGTTAAGTGAGAACACGCGACCCGTACCTGGGGATGGATCTTGGACTTTGGGATTAGGGCTTAGTGTACAGGGGTTTGCATACACGCAGGGAGCGTGCTTTTGATTGTGGCTGCGCAGGTGATTCTCAAGCTCCGCGAGGCTTACAAAGCTTTGGCGACACACTACAAGGAGGCATTTGCCTTCATGTGTCTGCAGTTCGAAAGAGTCCGTGCGGACATCCTTATGGGCATGCTTTCCCAATGGTCCATCCAATGCAGAGCCTTCTTCAGCGGCATGGAGAACTTCAGTTCCAGGTCTCTGTAACCGATGGCCTAAGAGAATCGATTCCTGTGCTCAGATCACAGACCTAGAGAAGGAAGAGGTCAAGGCCTTGGGAGGCCTTCTTGTACCTGCCTCAGCTGTCCCCCGGTCCGCGCGAGAAGATTGTTGTTGGCTAGATTAGTTGCGTCTGAGCCAAACTGTGAACAGGAGATTTCTTCCCCCATAGCTGCCGTAGCCGCAAGCTTCGATACAACATGTGAGGTGCTGGGTACAGAGCGGCACGAGTCGCGGCGCATTGACAACCAGCTGCGGGGCCGCTGCGTGCAAAGCTCGGAGTGGGGATCAGGTGGCAACACGCGTGCAGCGTGTGTTGTTGATTTGTTATGCCAGTGAAAAGTTGCAGAGTTTTGGCATTTTTATGCGGTGAAGGTCTGCTAGAAGCTTGCGAGCTGAAGGGATAGAAAGGGATGAAGAGGATATACATGGGTATGCATAGGGCTTACATACGAACTGTGAGCCTGCAAGTTTCTCCGAGGCCCGACAAGGAGACCCTGGAAGCACCCGATTTTTCCTCAGCCGGGCCCTAAGTCGAAGAATTTGCTTTTTCGGGTTTGCGGCTTAGGGTTTCCAATAAAAGGCCTTCCCCGACCCCACTATTGCATTTTGGAAACTGGGGGTTATCGGGAGGTTTCAGTTTTGGATCTTTCAAATGGGTAGCCGTTGGAACAGCCGTTGGACTCTTCAACCGTTCGGCAGCTGCCCGGAGTTGCTCCACCTGATACCTGAACTTTGTCCTTGCACGCCCTGTCACCAGGTTTGAATGATACAATTTTCCGCATCTTCGGAGGCAAGACATCACATGCTCTCATCAAAGCTTTCTTCCTAACTCTAGGTTATGACTTTGTTGGTGGATTTGTGAAGTAATTCGCCAGAAGTCAGTGCAAACTAGGAGGTGCTTCTACGCAGAACTGCCTTTCTGACAGGCGACAACATCAAGAACATGATGAGCCATGCTGGCCTGTTGTCTGTGAGAGGGGTGCAAGAACATGTCCATCGTGGACCGGGGGGGTCAAAAGGACCTGGCATTCAACAATGCAGAGTCTTGTATGTCTTGTATCAAAGCGTGACGAAGGCTTTTGATGTACATTGTTGTACATTGCGCCGGTTCGCAACCAAATTTGGCATGCAAGTCTGGATGTTAGCTAACATTGCAAGCCCCGGTTCGAACCAGCAGACTTGTCTCAAGTCATACAATTTTCACTCCAAGCGTCCAAGAAAGATTTCCCAGCTGCATGATCACCTCCGTTTTGAGCACTCGGTGCCAGACATGATGAGCCTGAGCCAGCCGGAAGACACGCCGCTGGAGCACAGCCCCTGAAGGGAGTGCATTGATATGAGGCTTTCCAAGAATTGGGTGTTTTGGGACGGAATCAGTTGAGAAAGCTCATATGAGGGGAACGCCGCAGGAGTTCACAGCTGGTCGATCAGGGTGGTGGTAGGGCTTGCAGCTAAGGTCCGGCCTTCTCTCCAACTCCCTCGAGGAAGCGCAGAAGAAGGTCCACCCTTCCAAGCCTACGAAGGGTGCAGCTGAGGCTCCTTCAAAAGAGCCATTGATCCATTTAAGCACAGCTTCCTCAGAGTTGCTAGTGAGAGCTATCGTCCTGCAACATCTGTGTGTTTAGGTGCGCTCTGTGAGTCTGCGCTGACAAGCTTGTCTAGCTTTTCGGCTTTAGGATCCTCTCAGTTGTTACTCGCCCCTCAAACTTCTCCAGAGTTTGCGCAATGCATACATCCTCAGTATCTACTGTAGCTTTCTGTCAGCCTGCATCTTTTCGTACTTGTCGATTGAAGTTGCCAGCTCGAATTTAAGATCTCGGTCTTGAGCCAGGCATGCCAGCTGTTTCTGCTCAGCTTATGATCACAAAAAGCTCCCGAAGCTCTTACGCTGCGAGCCCTTCACGCAGCACACGTTCAACAAACAATCCAAAGCCAATCCTCAGCTCAAGTGATGTTTTTTGGGCCTGTCCGTAACCCATGTCCCGAAACTCTGCAGCGGCTACGCGCCGCGCTTCAGTAAGCCCAGCTTGAGAGGCAAACCGCTTGAAGTCCGCCTCACCCCGACCAAACAAGCCAAAAATCACCCTGCAGCTTTGACACTTGCGCGGTGCCCTGCGGTGCCTGCGCCGTCATGAGCTGCTGAGTGCTCTGCGCTCCATGATGCGGGTGCTCTGCTTCTGCGTCCGGTACCAAGCTATTACGCAGTGGATCCCACACACCAGGTACTTTTCCTTTTGAGGGTCGTCGCAATTGATTTGAGAGCCACTTCTCTGTAGCCTGGTCTTGCGTATCGAAGACGCCTAGTGCTGCCGCCCAGTTGACCGTACTTTTGACGGTGCTGGTTTTCCTTGCAGCGAAGGCAAGGTGCAGAGGATGCAGATCAGTGTGCGCAAGCGTAGGTTCCCATCTGCCCTCCTGCAAAAAGCATTTGCGCGCAGCTGGGATTGCTCTACCTCTTCGGCTTCAACACCCACAGTTGGCCCGAGCCGCCTCCACCAGGCCATGGGACCTCAGCTGTAAAGCCCCGGCAGCAGAAACTGACTGTTGCATGTTTCATCTTGTGGGGCTCTGCCCTGGAGCTTGCGCCTTGCAGGTCTCGATGTCGCGGACCAGACCTCCGAGGAGCCAATGGCACAGAGCAGCTTGCCCTTATCTCTTCAGCTCATATGCCTGCCTGGGGCTTCTACTTCACCTCAGGCCCTGAGCACCTCGAGGCTTTGCAGGCCGGGCTGGGTGGGGCGCTTTGAAACTTGTCGGGCTTTTGGATGCACCAGGCCTCTGTAGTTATATCTAACGTCAGCAGAACATTTCGCAAGAACATTCTTCTCGTGGGCGTCGTCGCAGTAAAAGCATGCCAAAGGCTTCAGAGGCGGCGTGCCAGCAAGTGAGACACATCAGACCTCCTGCATTTCATTCTGAGACAAGGGGGGAGCATAGAGTAGAGTAAGCTTGCAAAAATTGAACGTCCGAATGCAAATGGCTTGGCGCCGGTGCCTAGATGCGTTAGACTGCACAGGAGCTCCGTCGCGGCAACACGAAAGCGGCCTTCGAAAAAGCGGAAGGCCTGTTGCCTTTGCAACTGTTTGGTCCCTGCAGCCCATTAGTGGCAGTGGGCTTTTCGCCTGATGCTGATCACGGTCCAGGGCACCCTCTTTATCCTGGGAACAGCTTTATCCTGCTTGTTTGGAGATTTTTGGAAAGTAAAGATTAAGGACAGCTACTTTGCTTTCTGAAGCCCCGCTCTGCTTTTACTGTAACCCTGGCTTGTGAATGAAGTGCTCCAAGCTAGGATGCTGCTCCAGGCTGTGCCGCTACTAGTGGAGGATGCCGGGGCCTCCTGGGTGAATTCTACCTCACTGGGACGGAGGCACGGCCATCAGCAATCATTCCACAAGGTGTTTGCGTTCCACGTTTGATGCTAGTCGGCCAGGTTCCACGGGATCTTGACCAGGCCCTGCACTGGTTTCAGGCCAGCTATGAGGAGCCTACAGCCTACAACTTTAGGATCCCTCAGCTGTGACTTGCTACCAGTGCGCAAAAGCGAAGCGCTCTCACCTGCATTTGGGGCTTTCCCGGAATTTGGGGTACCTTTTTGGGGTTACCTATAGTTGATAAGGATGGCAGTTTTTTGCAGTGTATTTTGGGATCCCCTTACTTGAGGGAAATGCCATATGTCCATGAACCAGTAGGAGTACAGCAAATTGTGGCAACTCCTCCAGGCAGGCGCAGAGCTTGGTGACCCTGACTCGCAATACGCGCTGGGGGTCCTCTATGCCAATCTCCTGGAGGCCTGAGATCCTAATGCGAGGGTAGCTCCAGCTCAGGCAGCTGTGCTTGGGATCAAATATGATCAAAATCTATTAGGGCTATACTATAAATATGATCAAAACCTGTTAGGGTCATAGTATATATAGGGGTTATATTAGGGTTATATAGGGATTCAATATCTGCCAGGATCCCATTTCAAGCTTCCTCAGGAGTCGTCCCTGGAGCTGCAGAAGAATGAGGTGCTTCGGCCTTTCCTGCGGTTGTCGCATTGCCGACGTCAGATGGTTCTTCCATTGCTACTTTTGCATCAGTATGTCCGCATTGCTCATGATCTCCTGCGTGACGGCCAGCAGTCTGTAGGGCCTGAGCATCCTCTACCTCTATGCCGCTTCGCTAGCAGGGCACCTGGGGGCCATGATGGCTTCTTGGATTTCAATCTTTGAACGTTTGGCTTGCAGCTGTGACTCGTGATTCTGTGCGTCATATGCAACATCGCCTTGCCACTGCACAAACTCTCATGCGACTTTTTTTCTTGCTGGGACCATGCAGGGAAGGGACGTTCGTGAGATGTTCGTACTGAGGCCATGGGCTACAGGAAGCTGGGCTTTGTTAAAGTCTGACTGAGCTTCAGATGATTTGGGGTGATCGTGAAGCCAGGGGTAAGGCACTTTTCATCCATTATTGTCGAGCTGCAGGCACTCTCAGGGACTGGGCACACCCAGAGCCTGCGGCACCGCTGCGCTGAACTATATTGAGGCCCAGTGGCTTCAGCTTTCGATGAGCCTTTGACTAGCCGATGCTGTTCGAGTGAAGTGCCATAGCTCCTTATGCCTTTGCATTCCTTAGCACCGGTCTCTAAAACGTGTCAGGTGGCGCGGCGTGTTGCGCAGGCCTTCCTGAAGGGAATCACGGAGAGGATGGCTGTCTTTTGCGCTCTACATCTCCTAGGGTTCCCACTATCCGGTAGTCCTTTTTTCGGCGCCCAACAAAAATATTAGGGTCTATGTTGGGCTCCTTCATTGTGCAAACGCACCAAGAACGTTTCTAAAACAGCACTTTGTTTTCAAACCGTTTGCGATGGTTTCAAGGTGCATGTGGGCAGCGCAAAGCTAGAGGAACCATATACCTTACACCCTAAACTTGGAGGAGCACAGAAAGTCACCAAGCCTATGTAGGTTCTGAAGTTCTGAAGCTTGCGGGTTGACGGTCAGGCTAAAACCCATTGGGGAAATATTAGGGTTACATTGGGGTCATATAGGAGTTGTATTTGCGGATTAGGGTTTTGAGCCCTTGCCTATGTTGCCTTCCATCATGAGAAGTCTTCGGGCAACATGAACATGGATTTCGCATCCCTAGAAGCATTCCTTCATATCTTAATCCCCAAGCACGACCCAACACAATGTCCCAGGCCCAGCTTACTACATTTGATCCCGCCTGTGCTGCACGACCTTACCACGCTGAATGAGCTTTCCCTGATTCTGGGTGCTAAAGGCGCTTCCGAAGAGATTTCAGATGGATAGTTTCTCGCATAAAGCCGTAATCCCTAAACCCGCCAGGGTAAAAGAGGCGTTGCAAAAAACTATAACTAGCCCTCTTGGTGCAGCAACTTACCAAGCAAAGCTCTAAAGACAGGTTTACTCCTCTGGTATGCCGAAGGCTGTTGAGCTGGTCAGGACCGGGCCTCAAGTGGTAGTTCCCCAAGATAGCAGGACCCCAATATAGACCTCCAAATATTATAATCCGTATGATGGGAACCCCTAAGAGGGCACCCCTACATTTGGGAAACTTCCAAGTATGGCTTCTGCAGCAACTGCAGCAAATCGCGTGACGAGCCATGCTTATTATCAGACGTTTCTACTGTTGCTATAATGTGCTTGCATTTATTGGTATCATAACGCTTCTTACTAGTAGTAGTATCTTTATCATTTTTGTCGGTGTCATTTTTTTTGTATGTTTCTCGATGTTAGCTCTTTGAAGAGGCTCGGCGTCGACAACCGGGACCGGCAGATGAGCCGCCCGGTGACGGCCTCGGCTTTGGGGTTACACCGGCGTGTGGTCATGGGAGTTTCTCAAGATGCCCTTGGAAAAGATTGATCTAGTAGGGGGTCATGTGAGTTTACTCGCAATCCAGATGCAGTCTTTACGGAGGATCTCCACAACCCTGTTTTTTCTTATCCCTGAGTCCCTGAGGCCCATTCTTCCCCCCTTCTTGACATCGCTTCCTCGCGAGGAGATGGCGGTCTTTGTGGAAATCGCTGCCAGCACCTGGGTTGCACTTTGGTGGTAAGCAATAGAAACTTAGGCAACTTCTGGAGTTTTATTAGTTATCGGTAGACCATGCAGGAGCCCTGACCTTGGCCTGTGCCCAAGCTACCCAGGGGCCTATGACGGCCTCATAGGCTGAGGGTGGGTTATCCGCAGGCCCGTGATAGGTCTGTGGCTAGTGGGCCTATGACATTCGTAGGCCTTTGGCATAGGCCTACGGACGGCTTATTTCTACTGCTACAACTGCTGCTTCTACCAGTAGATGCGCGTCTCGTACGGTGGGCCGTCATAGACCCTACTATAGCCCCATGCGTAGCCCTAAGGTAGACTACACGCCAGAGCTGCTATACGTGTAGATCTAGAAATAGGGGTGATTGGCAAACAAAACAATAGATTTACTCAAGTTTGCTGCAGCTCCATGATCGTGCCATTGCCCAAAATCATGCCTGTATGTTGCAAGAGCCAGAGGCGGTGATGCCAACGTTGCAGCTGCTGTGCTCCAGCTGCAAAGCTTCACGCAGGATGCATATGCTGAAGCTTGCAGTGTACTTGACCAGGTGGGCAAGCGATACCTATTGGGCCTTGCCTGAGCCCTAGTGTTGAGCTGCTGAGGTATCCCCTATGCACTGAGTAAGCTCAACATAATAGGCTCGGTTCAAACGATAGCCTGGCAGCTGCAATGAACACTTAAGCTGTTTTGTGTCGTTTCTCACATTCTTGTCATCTCTTACGCTCTGCTGCGCTTCATGCAATACCAGGCACAGGGTACTTTTGCTGTCAAGCTTATGCTTTTGCATGCATGTAGTATGATCATGTTGACGTTGATATGGACCAACCATGGCATGAACAAGGAGGGCTTCCACCAGAACTACGAGCGCGCAGCAGGCCATCTGACTACGGCCGCGCAGCCGCTCGGGCAAAGTCCTTCTAGCTCCAAGCTTACGAAGTTTTCTGCAAGGATGCTGAGTTTCAAACTGGGAGTTTGTGTCCACAAAAATGAACTCGTCTGTGCCGATTTCATGTCAAGATTGTTTTTTGAAGGAATCAGAAGCGGGGTATCACTGCAATCAACACCATGCAGTGCTGGATGAGTCCCTTCGGAAACACCCTGCTTCAAATTACTGTTTGACAAGCGTTGAGTTTTGTTCAGCTTCCTTCTTCCTGCCTGAGGAAGCATCATCCCAACGCCATGGCTCTTCTGGGTCTCCTGGCATGTGGTGCCAGTCTTTGTGCCATCCAAGTCCAGGATCTGACGTCCATATGTGCAACCCTGAAGCCCAGGTTACATGTACAGCTGCTTGGCCGAAACAAGCAACGGCAGCCACCTTCCAAGGGGCTGGGACTTCTACTCTGAGCCCTAGTAGTATACCCACAGGAAGAAGCGTACAGATAATAATATGAGAGTAGCATCATGTCAATGTAGTAATGTATTAGAATGATTTAGTGGGCTGACATTTGCAACGTTTGTCCCAGATGCCTTAACTTGACCAGCGCGAGTAGCAGCCAAGGCCTTGGGCTTGGTGTCACGAAGAACTTGGCCTCTCTGCTCCAACAAGTAGCAAACGGTCCTGCTCACGCCAACATATCAGCATGCTCAGGGTATTCTATATGCTGCTTGGAGCTGCGAAGGCGTCATCTCTGGTAGGATGTCATCTCCAATACTTAGCGACTCCAAAATCCCCCACATATCCCTGTATTCCTTTAGGGGCACCCCCCCAAAGCCACCAAACTCTGCAGAGCCCCGCTTTCGAGGATCGGGCCTACCGGTACTTTCAAGATGCCGCCTCTCGGGACGATGCTCTAGGCCATCTGAAGTACCTCTGGGAGTGTGTCAACGTCAGCCTTCTAGGAATGTTTACGGGTGACTCCTATTATCATCTCCCCTGCCCTGGAATCTCGACATCATCGCTTTATATCCCCAGGTTCTCTGAAGGCACTAGTAAGGCGCCCATTTTGAGAAACTACCATTTGGGTCCACTCTTTGCAGCCGTCGGGTGCTTCTGCTTAGAGCTGTGTCTGCTTCAGAGACATGACAGAGAGCCTTGCGGGTGCAGCATTGGATTCGGAGGCCACAATGGCCTCGGCTTCATCCACTTTCACGGGACGACAACCCAAGAGCAGAACTTTGATTTGGCGCCCTGGCAGAATATTGGGTAGATGGCATCTTCTCCAGGCACATGTTCAAGCCGTGCCTCCATTTTACGCAAAGCTTGTTTCCGTGCGGCCGCGAGTGCAGGCACAGGCAAGCAAGGAGAAGTCTACGCGAGCTAGGGAGCCTCTAGGGGGAAGGGAAGCTGCCAGCACCCATAAATGGAAAGGCTAGCGCAAGAAAATATAAATCAGATCCAGCCATTTTTTGGCTTACAAAAACTGCAGATCAAGGATCTCTGTCAGCCTAGGCTTTTCGCCACTTCAACTTTTCTGCCCATGCCGGCAGCGCAGACGGCATGTGCCCAGCCTTAACTATAGAAGACGGGAGCTTGAGGACTTTGCAGGGCTTTGCGGCTTGGCCACAGCCTTGGCCTCCAGCACATTGCTGGCAATCGAGGTTCAACCTTGGCTCCTTGTACCTCACTGGAACGGGGACAGAGCAATCCTTTCAGCGTGCCGCGCACTGGTTGCCCAGCTGCAAACCAGAGGGCCAGCGCAGTTTCCCACCTTCTGGACCCCACTCGTCTCTGGTTGCGAGATTTGGAAGCTTGAAAGCTCTAGCAGTGAACAGACGCGATGCATGATGCACTTGCGCCTCCAGCCAGATGCAGGGTCGGTGATCTTCTGCTGTTGAAGGCGAAGGGGCAATGTGAGGGCATCAGCGCTGCTTTTGAAAGCCAATAATTTCAGGATTTCCGTTCCTCGACTCCGTGATGCGAGGTACACTCAGGCGCTTGATCGCGGGCATACTCCGGCTGCTTACACGATTCTAGGCTGCAAGTCCTCTAACCCCCCAAAAAATCGAGTACCGTCTATTCATGTTATTGAATTTGATTCCCCATCAGTAGCGAGATTTCGGATTTTTAAGTCTGACTTTGCCCAGGCTGGCGGTGATGCACCTCAATGGCATCGGCGCTGTGCGGAACTGCAAGATGGCCGTAGAGCTGCTGAAGCGGGACTTTCGGCTTCTGAAGAGTCTCCGGTGATAGTACCGCAATAGGGTTATTTCTGGGTCATGTTGGGTCTAGGGTTCAGGGTTTAGGGACAAGGTTGACTGAAGCCATGTTGCAAATGCAAGCACTGCACAGAGCCCTTGGCAAGCCGCAGTGTTTCTCGCGTGAGGTATGTGAGCGGGGTGGCTGGGTGTCCAGCAAGTCTCTGAGCTGCACGCAGTGAGTCTGAGGGAGCAGTCGATGCGTTTCTCCAGCACATTCCAGAACTGTTGAACTAGGGAAGGCAACAGACCGACCGACACTCTTCCCAAACTTGCTCCGACGGACGGGGCTTCGCAGATTGAGGCTCCGTGAAGCGTACGACCTGCAGGAGCACAGTGCTTCGGCAAGCATGACGAGAGTCTTTCTCTGTAGGATCTCCAAGAGTTTTGACAAGCCTATGAAGGTCAGCCATCCCCGCAAAAGCTAAGCTATGTCTATGTGCTAGGACAGTCTCAGATCACTTCTGCTAAGCATATGGTGTTGGACGTTTACTGAAGCAGGGTGCTTCTCAAGGCAGGTGTCCCCTCTTGTACATTGCCGAAAAATAGGGTTGTCCCCCTCATCGGGCCCATAACTCTGAGAAACACCTAAGTCTGGCACATGGGCATTGCTCGAAACAACCGTGACATACCCCGGCATAAGGACCCCCCCTAAGATCCTCATATCTCTGTGGTTCTTAGGCTGTTAGCAAAACAAACATATGAGAATCTTGCGAGTGAGGCCCGGAGGGAGCGGCATGGCGTTGCTTGGCTATGCTTATAATCCCCCTTAAGTAGAAACTGTAGAATATTATGGCTCTGGGTATATTATAATACGATCCCCTTATACCACATATTCTATCTACTTAAGATGGACTCTAGGCTGGCAGGGTTTGTGTTCAGGGTTTAGGAGTAGCATTGGTCTGCTGAACCATGTCCAAGACGAAGTTGAAGTCATCTTCATCAATTCAGAACGCCACATGAGCTGGAGTCTAAACTCCTAGTATCCTCCTTAATAACCCCTCTACTAATCCCCTATATAGTCCTTGTACAACCGCCCTTCAAGGAGTTTAGACTACAGCTCAGAAATGCAGTCGTTCTGCGAGTACAAAGCTTGGTCTTGGTCTAGGAAGAGGGTCCAAGTTGGTCTGGGAGCATCCCAAAGAGTTCGGACTTGTTTTGCTTAGTGGTTGTTAGTAGGGAATAATGGAATATATTCCCTATACAATCCCTGTATAATAGGTTCCCTTATTCCCTACTGATAACTGATAACCAGTAAGTCTGTCAATGGCCTGTCCGGGAGCAGCCAGAGAACGGCTCGGGTTAAGTTTGGGAGTCCCGTCTGTGTGTCCCATGTTTGCTTACTGGTTCTTTTTTAGGGAATAAGGGAATATGTCATATAGGAGCTATGTGGGGATTATATTCTCTTATTCCCCACTAACAACCAATAAGTTTGGGCTGTTCCGGAGCTATTCATTTCCGTTACAGGAAGGGAAAGTTCAGAAATCGGTCTGCAAAGGCATTGTGAGATAGGTTAATGCCGTTCTTGAGACATGGCCTAGTCGTTCACCATGCCATGATCCAAGCATTAGCGTTGGGACGGTGATTCAGGCGCCCCATCATGAGGGTAATTTCCTGGAAAAAGTCTAGACCCGTTTCTCTGAAGGGAATACTCCATAGAGATTGCAGGCGATTTTGCATTTCTTCTTGACACCTGCGTTGGGTATGTTGAGAGCCTTTCGATTGGATTCTGTGCAGCTGACTGTTTGCTCTTGAAGTCTGGAATCAGATTGACGCACGCAATGGAAGATAATGGTAGATATCCCAGGCTTCTTACAGCTTGCCGAAGCCGGGCACGAGGCCGTGCGGCAGACTTCAGAGTGGCGTAGATTAGCCCAGAGCTGGGTAGTTTGGATGAGCAATTGTGCAGCTCTACATTCTTGAAAGCAGACAGCTTGTGATTGGACAGTGGTGATGTTTAGATAGCATACTGCAGCGATGCGGTTGGCATCTGTGCATTGATTGTTATCAGCATTACGCGTCTTCATGACACAGCAGCCACAAGACAAGTGGTTGCTGCTGTCTTCTGCAACCACGCACTGTAGTCCTTGGCTCAAGCCTCGTTGTAGTACGTGGTAACAAGAGTACTCTTTCGGCTCAGGTGGCGCAGATGAATGCAGCCCACCTTTTTGACTCAGGTGCCTGCTTCTCGTGAAATCTTGTACTCCTCAATGCGCTGCTCATTTATCGAAAGAGGATGCTGGAGCTACCGAATGTCAGTAGTATGGGGCTTTATATGTTGCTGACACAGGTGCAGCATCCTTTCTGCTGAATACCAGTCCAGTTCTCAGACAGAGCACCTGGCAGGGTTTGGATGTAATTCCTGTAAAATCCCGAATGATGATCCTTGGTAATCCGCTTGTGATCCCTATATCCCGAGGATCCCGAAAGACTCCGATGGTTGGCAGGGACAGCATGAAGCAGTCATGCTTAGGAATTACTATGAGGGGTGGTAAAGGGACAGCTGCAGGAATCAATTCCTCCATTCCAAAAGTTATTGTAGCTTCCATCTCTTTGCCCATTCGCTGCGAACCACCTTCCATTCCCTACACCATCAACTGCTTCCATGTTCTTTGCGGTTCCTCGCCCTATCACCCTATACATGCATATATGTATAAATATATACACACATATTCATATATCCCTCTATATTTGTGTATAGTAGCTTCCATTTCCTTTTGCATACCTTACTTGTCACCAGAGTGCTAAGGTGGAAGCGGTGCTGCGGAGCCTACAGAGGCAGGAGACCTCCAGCTTCAGTTCAAACGAAAATGGGGATTGTTTTGCTTCCTGGGGGTCAGTAAGGAATAAGGGAACCTATTAGACAGGAATTATATAGGGGTTATAGTCCCATATTCCCTACTAACCAGCTGAAAGTTTGTGAACTCGTGAGACGACATACAGGGATACAAGGGGTTTGATGTGGATGAAGTTTCTATACAGGAGAGGACCCCAATTTAGACCCCAAATATCCGAAAAGTGACCACAAAGTGTCAGAAGCCACAAGAGACTTGCTGGTTGCTATTAGGGAATAGGGGAATATAGTATAGGGGGATTATATAGGGATCATATTCCCTTATTCCCTATTAGCCCCCAGTAAGTAGATACCTTAAACCCTCAACCCTAAACCCTAGATGGGGTGTCAGGTTAGCCGCACCTGGGGCCGCTTCTTTGCCCAGCGACACTACGAGCTCTCAGCGGAGCAGGGCAACGCTTTCTCGGAGCGCTCATCAAAAGGTTTAGGGTTTACTTACTGGTGGTTAGTAGGGGACAAGGCATAAAGGAATGTAATCCCTGTATAATCCCCACAAAACATATTCCCTTCGTCCCTACGAACCCCAGTAAGCAAAGGGTTTAGGGATGAATACAGACGATTGTATGAATATTAGAATAGTAGCAATCATAAGCATAATAGTTATAGTGATGTTTACTGGAATACGGATGATTGTTGGCGGCAATTGAAGGGAGAAATGTTTGCATACATGCTGCCACCCTGCAAGGAACAAAACATGCATACATGTATATGTAAAGGCGCATTATGTTTCATATTTCTACACATCTGTAGAGATCCATTCCCTCACTCCCGACTGAGCATCAGCAAGGAATCCTGAGACCTCTGC